TGGCGGTTGGGGGAAGGGCAGTGTGCAGCGTTGGGGACGCCTCCGTCACACGTTCAGTCCCGTAGCTTATGAACCGCGTCCATAAACGTCATGACTTTATCGTAATGGACCGCGTTCCTCCAGTCTCCGCCCTCTTTAAAGTGTGATCCGATGATTAAGCCGCTGGCGTCGATGTAATTCTTCACGTTGTCCGCCGTCACTCCGGATCCAATCAGAACCGGAATCCGAACGGAACGCTGGACCTCTGCAACACAAAGGGGACTGTTGGAGTCTTGAAGGAGGCAAGCCGGTTAAAACAAGCAATGTGATTGGTTCTGGGATACTGGTACTCGGGCCGCCCAGCTTTTCAATTGGTTCGGAAGCCAGCTTCACTTGTTGGTCGGCAGCTCAGCCTCCTAACCAATCAGGAAGCCGGGCGGCACGTCATGACCCGCCTCCGGGCTTCCTGATTGGTCAGGAAGCCACACTGTCTAGCAACAAGTGAAGCCGACTTCCTAGCCAAACCAGAAGCTGGGTCATGACATGCCGCCCGGCTTCCTGATTGGCTGGAAGCCGCCTTCAGTTGTTGCTAGGCAGCCTGGCCAATCAGGAAGCTGGACAGCACCTCGTGACCCAACCGCCTGGCTTCCTGATTGGTCAAGCAGCCTCGGCAAGTGAAGCCGGTGAACAACGGCTTTCCAGGCAATCAGGAAGCCGGGCGACGGGTCATGATCTGCTGCCCGACTTCCTGATAATCGGGTCACATGGCACCAGCATCGGCGCGTACCGAGAAAAAAATATCGGTACGCCATACCAAAAAAAAACCCGGTATCGGTGCATCCCTAGTAACAATGGTTACAATCATCTGGTAATTCCCTTCGATGTTCTCTGGAATTGTTACATTGTATCTCGTTACCAAGGACTCTCGGCTCCACCATAGTAACGAGAGATACAATGTAACAATTCCAGAGAACACCGAAGGGAATGACCAGATAAATGTAACCATTGTTACCAATACAACGCCGGTGATGTCGGTGTATACCTCGTATCTGTGTTACCTTGGAGTTCTCTGGGATCGGCTTCCTGTCCTGTGGCCACTCCGGTTAGTATCAGTCCATCGGACAGGAAGAATTCTGCGGCTCTGGCGGTCTCCGAGATTGAGACGTCCGCGGTCAGCGCGTGGGAGCTGAGGACAGCGGTACAGAGAATGATCCATTATATGTGTGTTACAGGTTATGTAACAGCAGGCTCAAATCCCCCAGCAGCGGTGAAACTACAAATCCCAGCATGCACCTGCCTCTGGGAGTCATGTCTGTGGCTGTCAGAGTCTTGCAATGCCTCATGGGACTTGTAGTTCCTCTGCAGCTGGAGTGTCACAGTTTGGTCCCCCGTGATCTACAGACTTCAGATAGGAAGGAAACCTGCAGGCCTGATAATGCTCAATGCTTGCCGGTCATGCTAATCCCTCGGCTTCAATACCCTGAGTCTATGACCCGGAAGAAGGATGCAGCATGAGACTTTCCTTGTCGTGGGTCAGTGACCAAGAACACATTGAAGTCACATAGGCAGCATGACAGCCAGGCGATGAGTATTCCCAGAGGGAGAGCGGCAATAGAAGCCTTCGGATCCCTATGACAGGTCCACTTTAGTTACCTGTGTTTCTTCTTAATGTCGGTGAATATCTGGACGCGGTCGGCTCCGATGGCTCTGCGGTATCTGAGAAGGTCGCCGGCGCAAGCGTTCACTATCCCTTCATCGGCGACATGCGAGAATATGAAACCCTCCGCCCGGATAAAGTCCAAACCTGGAACACAGGAGAGTCCAATCAAAAGGAACTGATTCTCAGTGATGTAATCGGTCTCTAGTGAATGGATAGGCTGCGCTCTCAGTGATGTCACCGGTCTCTAGTGAATGGATAGGCTGCGCTCTCAGTGATGTCACCGGTCTCTAGTGAATGGATAGGCTGCGCTCTCAGTGATGTCACTGATGTCTAGTGAATGGATAGGCTGCGATCTCAGTGATGTCACCGGTCTCCAGTGAAGGGATATCCTCCATGACGTACCTGCCGCATGGGCCACCGCCAGGGCTTGCTGGTTGGCACAGGCCAGAATCTGGACCCCTAGAGGAAGGTCGGGGCAGGTCCGGCGGATCGCCGCGCACACAGCAGCCATGGACGCCGTTATCTCCGGTCCCACGCTGAGCGTGTACGGGATGTCATGCATGTTCTCAACGATGAGGCCGTCCTGGCGAGAGAAAATCACCGGCTTCAGCACTTTGTCAAACAATCCAAAGGGCACGTCACAGCCCCGGCACAACACGCGGAGTCCAGGGTGTCCTCAGGGTCACAATGGCCGACTCGTGTGTAGAAGCAGCAGGGACTGTACGGGAGGTGAGAAGACATACACGGTAGTCACCCCTCACCGGGCGTATGACAGACCCCCATTCATGTACAATGACTACAAGGCATGCTGGGCTGGCGGCCATTGTAGGCTAATGAAGGGCTGAGAGTAGGACAGAAAAATGGAATCCCCCCATGGACTATGTGCTGGTGTAGGCCCCGGAGCTGACCCTCCATTCACTATGTAGTCATTCTTTTCGGAGGCCGGCGGGTCATTATGAGACCGGTCTCCATTGTCGATAAAGTCCAATCATCGGACAGATCCAAGTCTGAGCGTGTGTGTGGCCCGGGCCCGAGCTGTACAACACAAGGTCACATGACCTGCAAGTGAAGAACAATGGGGGGAGGACACATTAACCCTTACTATGCCGGCCTTCCTGTAGAGCTCCGCTTCCCTGCACGCCTCCTCGGCGATCTGCGCCACACGGGTCTCACACACACACACACACACATCCATCAGATCTCACCGACTCCTCTCCTTGTTTACATCCAGCACCGCCCCCCACGTGTCGGCGCGCGCTTCCGTCTCCCGGGCCCCGCCCCCTCCGCGCAGATGGCCCCTCCCCAAGGCGCGAGTCCCGCCCTCCTCTCCCCGGTTCCCGGCTGGCAGTGTTTATAACCGGGCTGGCGGGGGAGGTCGGGGATCGGCTGCGAGCGCGGGACATTGGGGACAATCGAAAGCGATCACACAGAGCTTAGATCGGCCGATTCCCGCGCCACACGTGCACCTCCTCCTCCGCCCGCGTTCCGGATCTCCCGGCAATTTGGATGTGACCGCCGGAGGGAGACATGAGAGCCCCCAGCCTGAGCCCCGGACCCCCATCCTGAGTGTACCCCAATCTTAACCGATCTGTGCTGCCCGCACCCCCAACTTCAGTATTTAACACCCTTGTACCCCATTTGCATCGTACCTAGCCCCCCACAATCCAGGTAAGTGTCCCCATAATCTAAATCCCATGGGGTCCCCGATCTGGGTCGCAGTGTGTGTGGTTGGATTGTACTGCAGGGGTTAATGTCCCAGGGATGGGGGGTCGGTAGCAAGGGATGGCCCTATCGCTGATGCTGGGGGATGGGTAGCACGCCCTCCCCACCCTGTAGAAACTTTCCAGCCAAGCCTGAATGGCATAGTGGGGAGCAGATCATCCCTCCACCTGGCTTCTT